TAAATCTGAAATGTCTGATTTTAAATCAGAAGTTTAGTTTATTATATCTCAAACAAGAAGCAGTACCATTAATCAAAGTGTGTGCCTATCAACACAATTTTGCCGTCTTAACAATAGCCGGTGTATGCCAGCAGTGAAGAAGCATAGAGAACAAGTGGTAAGGAAATTGTGAAAGGGTGTTTTCCACAGCTTGTTGAGAACGAAATATTTTCCTTGCAAGAAGTGGTCCAAAGCTTGGAAGAAGTGGTGGTAGTTAGCTGGTGTAAGGTTTGGAGAATACAGTGGATGGCAGAGAGTTTCAAAGTCCAGCTTCTGTAGTTTCCGTTGTGTGTTTGTGCAACATGCAGTCTTGTAAGAGAATTGGCCTGTCTTTATTGACCAATCTCTGCAGCTTAATTGCAAGCCTCCTTATCATTTTGTCCATTTAGTTGCAGTAGACATCTACTGTAATTGATTAACCAGGTTTCTAGAAGCTGTAGTAGAATATACCAGCCCTGGACCACCAAACAGATGCCATTAGCTCTTTCCTGATGAACATTCAGTTTTGTACTAGGTTTCAGCACTGCATCTTTATCCAACCATTGAGCCAAATGCTTGTGATTATTAAAAAGAATCAATTTTTCATCACACATAACAATATAGTATAGAAATGGTTTGCCTTTGTGTCATGACAGCAAACAAAGGCAAGCTTGGAGATAATTCCTCTCCTAACACTGGTTTAATTCATCCAGAACCCATCTATCCAGCTTCTTTACCGTGCTGATTTGTTCCAAATGGTCCAATACTGTTGGAATAGTAATGTCAAACCTTGCTGCTAATTCAAGAGATGAATTTGTTTCTGCTACAGCTCCTAGCTTGTCATTATCCACTGAGGTCTTAAGTTGCCTGCATAGCTTATTTTCAAGATTAAAATCATCAGAATGGAACTCCTCAAACCCTTGACATACTGTGTATTCCTTAGCCACATTCTTCCCAAATGCTTTGTTGATATTTTGAGTTGCCTACACTACAACGGTTCCACGATGGAACTCATATTGAAAAATAGAGTGAGGCTCAGTGTCTGTAGCTCAAGTGGCTGAAGCGCCAGCCACATGCACCAGAGCTGCCGGGGCTGCCGAACAACAATGACAACTACAACCAAAAAATAGCTGGGTGTTGTGGTGGGCACCTGTAGTCCCAGCTACTTGGGAGGCTGAGGCAAGAGAATCGCTTAAGCCCAGGAGGTGGAGGTTGCTGTGAGCTGTGATGCCACGGCACTCTACTTAAGGTGTCAGCTTGAGGCTCTGTCTGAAAAAAAAAAAAGAAACGTAGACTGAATTGTTGACTTATTCATGGTTTCACAGAAATTAATCTAAAAAATTATGAAAGTTACAAACCAAAATATGCATTTGAAAGAGTACATTGAAAGAGAATGTACCTTAACGATAAAAAAGTGTCAAAGGGAAAGGTCAGAGGTCTAAACTCTCAAAGTTAATATTTAAGGAAATCAGCTGTTTTATACTTAATAACCCAATATAAAGCCAAAACTCCTGATCCAGAACCAAATCTAGGTTGTAGTGTTGAAAGCATAAAACTTAAAGCAGCCTTCATGGTGAATCCCACATAAACTCAAAAGCAGGCCCTTTGAGTGTACAAAGTATTTTAACTTTTGTTTTAGGTCAGATTTTTGTTCTTTAATTCTGTCAAGAGAATTTTTTTTTTTTTTTGAGACGGAGTCTCAAGCTGTCCCCCTGGGTAGAGTGCCATGGCATCACGCTCACAGCAACCTCCAACTCCTGGGCTCAAGCGAGTCTCCTGCCTCAGCCTCCCAAGTAGCTGGGACTACAGGCGCCCGCCACAACGCCTGGCCATTTTTTGGTTGCAGCCATCATTGTTGTTTGGCGGGTCTGGGCTGGGGATTTGAACCCGCCACCTTAGGTGTATGTGGCTGGCGCCTTAACCACTTGAGCCACAGGCGCCGAGCCTGTCAAGAGAATTTTTAAGGCTGGCTATTATGACACTATTATGTGTCTTTTACAAATTTTTAAAAATCTTTCCATCAATTATTTAGAATTAGAGGTCTCTAAAATCTATCTCTTCTATGTGTGTATTTTTTTTTTGGAGACAGTCTCACTTTGTTGCCCAGGCTAGAGTACCATGTTGTCAGCCTTGCTCACAGCAACCTCAAAGTCCTGGTCTCAAGTGATCCTCCTGGCTCAGCCTCCCAACTAACTGGGACTACAGGCATCCACCACAGTGCTCATCTATTAATAACATTTTTAAATTTTTATATAGATGGAGTCTTAGTTTTGCCTAGGCTGGTCTTGAACTCCTGATCTCTAGGATTCTCTCACTTCAGCCATCCAGAGTGCTAGGATTACAGGTATGAGCCACTGAGCCTGGCTTATACTAAGAAATTTCAGTTGTAGGCCCATTTTAATTCCTCCTTGTACCCCAACTACACACCATCAGCAGGAAGCAGCCAGATAGATTGATGTCCTGATTCCTCAGGATTGAGGAATGAATTAAAAAGGTGTGAGTTGTCAGCTCAGCACCTGTAGTACAGTGGTTACGATGCCAGCCACATACACCAAAGATGGTGGTTTTGAACCTAGCCTGGGCCAGCTTACCAATAATGACAATTGCAACAAAAAACAGCTGGGCGTTGTGCCAGAAGCCTATAGTCCCAGTACTTGGAAGGTTGAGGCAAGAGAATCAATTAAGCCCAAGAGTTTGAGGTTGCTATGAGCTCTGATGCCACAGCACTCTACTGAGGGTGACATAATGAGACTCTGTTTCAAAAAAAGGGGGGAGTGAGCTGTAAACAGCACAGTGAACAAATTTCATGACCCTCTATATAGATTTTTTATAATTGTCTCCCTTAACTAACTACTTTATATTTTTTTAGTTGTTTCCTAGAAATGATGGGATTTCTGCAAGAAAAAGGAGTTGAGATTCTGAAGTCCCCTGGGCAGACTTCCTGATGCCAAGACACTGCTACCTGACTCAGCACATGTAGCCCCACATTAAAAAACACATACTTTCTATGAGTTGGAGAGATGAATTGGAGGCTGATTACCCTATCTTCTCAGCTAATGTCTTTCATATTAAAAATCCCTTTCTTCTTTGGTTATGCTTGTTGTCTAAGCAGTTGATAATTCTGTGCAGCAAGCAAGCAGGAATGGGCCAGACTCATTTTGGGTTTGGCAACAAATCTCTGGAGGTGCTGTTTTGTGTAGCTCTGACTCTTAGAATCATAGTAATGTTGAGCATACTAAAAACCAAATCATTAATTAAAACCAACCAGGCTGGGTGGCGCCTAGGGCTCAGTGAGTAGGGCGCCGGCCCCATATACCAAGGGTGGTGGGTTTGAACTCAGCCTTTGCCAAACTGCAACAAAAAAATAGCCAGGCATTGTGTCAGGTGCCTGTAGTCCCAGCTATTTGGGAGGCTGAGGCAGGAGAATCGTTTGCGCCCAAGAGTTTGAGGTTGCTGTGAGCTGTGACACTATGGCACTCTACCGAGGGTGACAAAGTGAGACTCTGTCTTCAAAATAAAATTAAAAGATAAATAAAAGTACCGCAATTGTGAAAGACAAAAAAGACTGAGGAACTGTCTCAACAACTAAATACAGTGTGGGTTCTGGATTGGATCTTGGACTTAAAAAGGGCATTGGTTGAAGAACCAGTAAAATCCAAGGAAGGTCTACAGTTCACTTAATAGTACTGTATCAGTCTTAAATTCCTGCTTCTGATCATTGTGCTGTGGTTGTGCAGGATGCTAAGATTAAAGGACACCAAGTGGAGGGTATATGAAAACTCCATACAAGTTTTGCAATTTTTCTGTATGTAAATAATTACATAAAAAGGGTTTAAAAGATACACATTAAATTATTGTTGATGAAGCAAATCAAAGTCTAGGCTTTACTTCAAATTTTTTTGAGAATCACTGAAGCAAGGTGAGGGACATCCAGCTCATTGCACTGTTCTCAGCACTTTTGTGTATGGTAGATGATTCACACTGGAAAAGAGAAATGCTGAGGGTGCATTAAGCCCCTTCCATATCCTGGGCACTGTGCTTAGCCATGGGGACTAGCAGTCTTGCCCTCAGGAGCTCACGGTCAATGGGGGAAAGCAGATACTGAACACAGGACGTGGGAAGAGTGATGTGACAGGGAAGGACAGGATGTCTGGGAGGAGGGGGAAAAGTGTGTCCCAGCCAGCACAGACAGTGTGTCCGGGGAAGAGCGTGTTCCAAACAGAAGAGACAGTGTGTCAGGAGCCTTGGGCTCTAGAGAAAGGCCAACACGTCCCCTGCAGAGAAGGAGCCACAGATGACCCCAGAGAAGGCAGCTGAGTCTCCCCACCCAGGGCTGGGACAGCTCAGCTAGGTTCTTGGAACCTACAGAATTTTGCAAAGGCATTCATAATTGAGTCCTTTTTACAAAGATGCCATCTCCCCATTCTCTCCATCAAGTCCCCTTTTCTGCACCACCCTCTCTCTCCTCCTCCCCCCACAGGGTTCCTCCTCTGCCCTAAACCTGCAGCCTATTTACTGAGACCCTCCTTAAGGGGTGTTCAAACAAGCTGGTCCCCAGGGACCTTCTGAGGCAGCCCAATAACCCTGACATCCAAATCCCTTGTCAGTGCATTTAGGGGAATCTTGCAATGAAAGATCGCTGACTTCATGCTTCCTAGTCTAGCAAGTAACTCTGGAGCCTCAGGGCTGTGGGAGTGGCTGTTCCCTATGGGGCCGCCTCTGCAGTGGGCAGAAGTGCCACAGTATTAAAGCAGCTGCCACACAGGACACACCTCTCAGGAGGTGGCCAGCAGGAGCTGAGCAGAGACCCAGCCAGGACTTAATCATGTGAGTACTGACCTTAGGAATCTTCCTAAATGCTCTCCTGCCTGCTTCCCTAAGAAAGCACAGGGACTTTGTTACTCTGTGTGGGTACTTTGCGTATCTATTGTGTCATCTTTGTGTGCCCAGGAGATAATTCAAGCATTGATTAGTCGTTCCTGAAGGACATATCTTTATACAAAAATCAGGTTCAGGAATTTAGAAAAGCAGAGTAGTGACTTGGATGGTATAAGAAAGGCGAGAGCCACATCAGTGTGAACAATGAGTAAATGCCTCCATGCCAGTGTCAGGAGGCGTGGCAGACCTTACTCTCGATTTGTTGCACAATTAGTGAGGTACTGTATGATTCACACAGGAGCCAACACACAGTTACAGTGGATTCACGTTTGGCAGGGCCACCCATTTGGGGGGGTCCCATTTCAGCAATGAAAAGAAATTGAACCAGGTGGTTGCGTGCCTCTCCTGCCTCTCAGGTGGGAAGCCAGATATCACTGCCGGCCTGTTAGGATCTAGATTTCCATGTCCACACGGATTCCACATCTGTTAGCTTGTTGGTCCGTGAGTTACCTTGCGATTGAATGCCAAGATGTGTGCTACTTCCCCTTTCTCACTATCTCCTTTTTTAGACCTTCTCCTATTTCTCCTCCTCTTCTTCCTTGTTCAGCCTTTCTGGGACCAAAGGCTGAGCAGGGTTCATTCTCAAAATTACAATGAATCTAAACGTAGAGGCCTTTTAGGATAGTTAAGACAGGTGGGTGTGGACTTGTGCCTTAGAGAAGCCCCCAAATGCCCTTCTCTGGAGCTGCCATGCTCCCACAGAGCACTTGCACGGTTCTTCTATTGGCCAAAGCTATCCTGGCAAAACCACTATTTTTTTTTTCATAGTCATTATGTTTCTACTGCATAGGAGAGTTCTATTGCCTTGCTAATTCTGTTTAAGAAGCAGAGTGGGAGTCTTCTTCCTGGCTGCTGTGGGGGTTCTTGGTTGTCGATGACTTCTCTGTCAGAACTGTTGACAGCAAAATGTCTGCAGGAAATGCCAAAATTGGGCACCCTGACCCCAACTTCAAAGCCACAGCTGTTATGCCAGATGGTCAGTTCAAAGATATCAGCCTACATGATTATAGAGGAGAATACGTTGTGTTCTTTTACCCTCTTGACTTCACCTTTGTCTGCCCCACGGAGATTGTTGCTTTCAGTGATAGGGCAGAAGAATTTAAGAAACTTAACTGCCAAGTGATTGGTGCTTCTGTGGATTCTCACTTCTGTCACCTGGTGTGTGGATCAACACACCTAAGAAACAGGGAGGACTAGGACCCACAAGCATTCCTTTGGTGTCAGACCCCAAGCGCACCATTGCTCAGGATTATGGTGTCTTAAAGGCTGATGAAGGCATCTCGTTCAGGGGCCTCTTTATTATTGATGATAAGGGGACCCTTTGGCAGATCACTGTGAATGACCTCCCTGTTGGTTGCTCTGTGGATGAGACTCTGAGACTGGTTCAGGCCTTCCAGTTCACTGACAAACACGGGGAAGTGTGCCCAGCTGGCTGGAAGCCTGGCAGTGATACCATCAAGCCTGATATCTAGAAGAGCAAAGAATATTTCTCCAAGCAGAAATGAGCACTGGGATATTTTAGTGCTGGGCTGCAGTGGCAGCCATGAGAACAAAACCTCTTTTGTACTTTTTTTTTCCATAGGTAAAACACAAAACTTTAGGTTCAGACAAGAAGTGGTGTGTTATAAGACAGGCCTTTCTTATGGGGGTTGGAGATGCCAGATTTTGTTCCCTTGGTGGGAATGGCTTGAGTTGTGTTGTGGGACAGGCCATCTGATCTGTATGGTCTATCTATTAGTAGAGGGCATCAGCCCATGCATCCTTTGTAGTTTCTATTAAACTTTAATTGAGAAAAAAAAAAAAGAAGCAGCAGAGTGGTGGATTTAGTCTTCGGGATTGGTTATCAATACTCTATACTAGGGTATTCTGAAGTGGCGAACCCTATGAGGGAAAAGCTAAAAGAAGGGGGAGAAAGGTGTGCTGTTTGTTAAACAGCCCCGCCATACCCCAGGAAGCGGGCACTTTGAAAGCTATCCTGTGCGTAGAGACAAATTCTCTGCTTCCTGAGAGCGCCATCACTGCTAGTGGGAGGGACAATGCCGCCCCCTACAGGCTGTAAAACTTCAACAATAAGATGCCACAGGAAGAAACCAGGGCAAGTGTCAGAAGACCAAGGTCCTACCCACTGGCATAGAGAAGCTCCAAGACTTTGGTGTCAGATGAAAAAACCGCGCTGGGTGTGCCAGGTTTGCCGTGTAACGAAAGTTCTATAGATACCAATAACTCGAGCTGAAAACGGAGGATAATAACAGGATTCATATAAGATTAAGTAATCTTTGTGAAAAATTAATATAAATAAAAGTGAGAAATCGCAGATTATGTCAAAGACACTAAACCAATGTTAGTTTCTTTCTTTATAACAGAAAATTAATGCAGTAAATAGCCTTTTTCTAGACTGTAAAAGAAGTGGAAAAATACAGAAATGCAATAGAAAAAAGAAATAAGAACCTTCCTGTGTAGAAACCATTTAGGTCATGGCTACGATAGTCAGGACAAAACTAAAACCCAGTTCTGCTTGTGAACAAAATGCAGCATAACAGGCAAAGAGCTGAAGAGTGACTCTGCTCCCTCCCGTGTCCCTGTCACATCCCGGACTCCCAGGGCCTTCACCTGTGTGGGATCCGGGCTGCCCTATTTAGATTCTAAAATGAAGACAGAGGGAAACATGAGACTTGTTTGGTACATTTTCGCCATGGTGGGGACTGACGGGTGACAAGTTGGGCCAAGGAATGTCTTCTAGGGACTCTTCCAGTCCTGCCATGGGGAAGGCAGATCCTCCTTCTGGATTGTTGATGCTGTTCATTCAACCTTACATCCCAAAGTACATTTTCTTCTGTGGACGCCTTCATTCATTTATTCATTCATGTTTAGAGAGACCAAGAGACTGCTATTATGGCGGGGAAGCCCAAGCTTCACTACTTCAAGGGACGAGGCCGAATGGAGTCCATCCGGTGGCTCTTGGCTGCAGCTGGAGTAGAGGTAGGTTGGGACTGAGGTCAACTTAAGTTGGATCTAAAATGGGCTATTTCAAAATCTGTTAATTAGCCAGGAGACTTCCACACAAGATGATCCGTGAATAGTTGTGCCTGCCAGGAAAATATTCCTAGTTACTAAGAAAAACATGGACTGATTTGACCAAATGAAAAGGCAAAAAATCTGTCCATCCAAGAACACATAAACAAAAGTTATTTTCAAAGAAACAAAGGAAACATCAATTAGCCATAATATAGGGGCCTTACTTAGATTTGGACTTAAAGTCTAAAACGTAATTTATGACGTTTTATACCACAACTAGAAACCTGAATATTCATTAAATAGTAGATGATATTAAAGAATTATTGTCAATTTTTAGAGTAACTGTGTGTGATTTGGGGTATGCTATTGTTGTTATATTTGAAATAGTTGATCCATTCAAGGATTTAGAATGAGATAATAGGATACCCCAGATTTGTTTCATATCACGAACTGAGGAGAGGAGTGGTGGGGCATGTAATGAAAGCAAATTGTCTTGAGTAGATAATTATTGAAGCCAGGTGTCAAAAATAAGGTGATTCAATTTAGGTAATATGTATTTTTATAGATTTTACCTGTACCTATAATACAGGTAAAACATTTGAGAAATTAAATGTAATGAAAGTTAAAATATAAAGCACAATGTGGGGGAAGGAGGGAATAGATTGTAACAAACTTCCTGCTAAAGACTCAGTAAACTCTTTCATCAATTACTTTGCTGAGCGCCTATTCAGTGCCAGGCTCTGTGCCAGGCCCTGGGGTAGACAGTGCACAGGACAGGCTTGGTCCCTCCCTATAGCAGCCTGCAAAGCACTGAGGATGAAGACAAGTGACAAGGTGATTAAAGTGAGGTGTGGGGGCCTCTAGGAGGACACCCAAGCATTCCACAGGCTGACAAGGCTCTGCTTCCCAGGGTCTGAACAGGAAATGCTGGTGAGGGTCTGGGGGTGACTCTGTGGAGTGCTGCCCTCTGGAGGTGTCTGTGGGAAAACACTCCCCAGTGCAGACTGAGGTGCTCAGCCAGTGTGTGGGGACAGAGGCAGGGACAGGCTCAGGAGGGCTTGTCCCTCAGGAGGGAACTGAGAAGGAAGCTGTCAGGGTGGGTGTGTCCTGTGAAGGGACCTCGGGGTGTGCTCCCTTCAGCCCCACAGCCATATGAGGCCCTGAGTCTGGGGATGCACTTTCTCCACGGCTTCATGGATGTGTGGGGCTCTACCCTGAGCCTTCTTCAGTGTCATGAAGACACGACCACACAGTGAATCCAGGGAGAGCCATTCCTGGTAGTTTTCTTTCTGAAAATGAAGAACCTGCTCTCATGGTCATACAGGTGTCAGCTTTTTTGTTCAGGGACATGTTAGGGCCATGGGCAGGCTGAGTGCAGCTCAGGAGGGAGGGGGCAGGGCAGAGACCACCCAGGCTCCTTGGTCTCCATCCCAGCTTGACAGAAGCCCTGGGTTCCCAGTGCCCAAAAGCTGGTAGTTGTGATCAAGTCCATCAGGCTCTTGAGCAACATGACACTGACCAACCCCATCCCACCTCATGCAGTCACCACTCACCACCCCTCTGTTTGTCTCGAACTGAAAATGCTTTGTTAATTACTGCCCCCCCCTTGCCCATAGACCTCTGTCACGTGTCTGTCCCTATGTCAGGATCCTGTGTGAGCACAGATGCAAAACATGCTGTATGGCATGGAACACATTAGAAACCCCCAGATTCTGGATTTTTTTTTAATACTAAGAGTCCTTTTTAAAGTATAAAATGAGAAAGAATGATTTAAATTACAGCAAATGCCTCTTGCTGGCAGAATCCAGGCCAAGTATACACAAGTTCTGTCTGATCACTCCTGGGGACACAGGCTTTCCTGAGCTACTGCAGCAACATAACCAGAAGACCTGCCTGGTCCCTTCCCCCCAGTGACTGTTCCCCAAATCAAGAACACACCACGAACATTGTGGGGTCTGGGTGAGGTGAGGGGCTCTGCTGTAAAGAGTGACAGCTCTGTGCCCCACCCCTGGCCCCTTTCCTCATGGGACTGCCATAATTTCCAAATGCTCATGACCATAATCCATGTGTGCACATCTCAGAAATCTCACCTTCTCCATGTTATGTTCTGGTCGGGGCCATTCGAGACTACAAGTCTATAATGCTATGGGAAAAACTACTAAGAACCATTTGCTGTTTCTGCTTTCAGTTTGAAGAGGAATTTATAAAATCTCCAGACGATTTGGAAAAGCTAAGAAATGGTAAGAACAAGTATCTAAATACCTGTGTGAGGGTAACTTGTAGAAGGGACGGGAGGGTGTAGCACAGCCTGTGAGGGGGTGCGGTGGGGTAGTGCGTGGAGATGACGCAGAAGTGAAAACAGAAAGTGGAGGAGGCTCCTTCAGCAGGTCCGGCAACTCTCTCAGGGCTGAAAAGGGCCGGATTTCTGTCAATATTTGCTAAAGGAACCATCCCTAGTTCATGAGAATGCCCTCTCCTTGCCCTGTCTCATGCATTCAGCACTGTGAATAATCTGTGATCAGCTCAGGATCCCACACAGCCCTCCCCACGCAAGGACATGCAAGGACCTGCATTAAAGGAAAACAGTAGATACGGGTCCATCTTCGGTTCTTTACTCCTACCAGACTGACGAGGTGATATCCTGGCAATATTATTGGCTTTGAAGAGCATGGAAAGGGACCAGTGCATATAAACTTCTCTCAGAACTTACCTTAAATGTCACGAAAACAAGGAGACTCACTTTCGTTAACCTTCCCATTTTAAATGACATACAGCTGGCTACCCTGTTGTAGCTTCTCCCAACTTTTCCCTAAAATATCCATCAAGATTTATCAATATGAAAAACATGAGGAGCCTACGATTTCTATGGATTGAAAATAAAAAGGCAATAAAGGAAAAGGAAGATTGATAAGGAAAAGGACTACAGGAAGCTAAAAACAGAAATCTATTTCAAGTGAGAGGTCACCAAGTAATACTTTTTGTTTATATTTTATCTTCATTCATGTCACCAATTATTCTTTCATCCAGAAAAAGTGGGACCCATAGACATTTTCTTCTCTTTTTTGCTTTTTCTTTTCTCTTAAGATGGGAATCTGATGTTCCAGCAAGTGCCCATGGTGGAGATTGACGGGATGAAGCTGGTGCAGATGAGAGCCATTCTCAACTACATCGCCAGCAAACACAATCTCTATGGGAAAGACATAAAGGAGAGAGCCCTGTAGGTACAGTTTCTGTCCTTACACCACCAGACGGCCCAGGACAGTGCAGGGGAGCTGGACAGCAGCAGGCTGGGCCCTGGGATTCTGCAGAATGGCAGAGTCCTGTGGACGGGAGGGAAGAGTAACGTGGGAGGGGTCAGGCAAGTGTGACATAAAACAGGATGCAGCCCCTGGATATAGCCCCATGACAGAGGTTTCCAACTCTCATGAGCCATGAACTCAGGAGGGTGATGGAATCATGTTTCCAGGGGCTCAGGCCTTTAGGAGCTGAGTTCCAGCCAATAGCTAGGGGACAAAGGACAGAGTGTTTGAGTGTGTATAGATGAAGGCTGGGGAAGGAGGACCCAAAGGAGCTGAATCTCAAGTTCCAGTAATTACAAGAATGATGAACCTAAGTCATCACCCAGTTGTATGAGTGCACTTGAGAAGGGTTAGTAGAGCCCGGTACCCAGGAAGCTGGGTTACCTTAACTTTTTGACCCAATTCTGAAGCAGCCAGATGTATTCACTATCACCAACACACTGGGGTCTGCTCTAGTCCTGACTTCAGGACTCAAAATATAATCTTGTGAGGCCTTCTGGCAATGCCTCAAAAAGGTTAACAGAGCAACCAATGAATCAGCAATTTCACAAAAATACAATGCAAGTAACAGCAATATTCACAAAACTAAAAAGTGTTAACAGCCCAATGTTCATCAGCAGTTGAAATGAAAAACAAAATATGCCAAAGGCATGTACCAGGCACTATTTGACTCTGACAAGGATTAAGTTTGGTGTTTGGGCAACACGATTGACCATAAAGACCTTACATTGCATAAAAAAAAAAAAAAACAGACACAGAAGGTCACAATTTATAGGACTGGTTTTGTATGGAATGCCCAGAATATTGGAATCTATACAGGCAGGAAGTGGAATAATAGGGCTAGAGGAGTGGGGGTTGGGGAGAAATGAAGAATACTGTCGGTGGGTACAGATTTTCTTCCCAGGGTGCCAAAAGGTTCTGGAGTTAGAATGATGTGATATTTGCCGAATTCTGCGCATGTATCGAAATCCACTGAATAGTATACTTCAAATGAGTGACAATTATAGTATGTGAACATATGTCAATAAGCTGTTATTTAAAAAAAATATTGCAGAGGCCCAGCGCCTGTAGCTCAGCAGCTAGGACACCAGCCATGTACACTGGAGCTGGTGGGTTCAAATCCAGCC